TTACCTTGTTTAACCCAGCAATAAGGTCATCAAGAGCACACTGCTCAGGTCATTCTTTTCTGTTGCCCCTAAACAAGCTGCCATATCTGGGTCTCAGTTTCTCCATCTGTCAAAATAAAAAAGGCAGATAATACTGTTCTCTGCATGGATATGTGCATATATGCACATATAAACACAAGAAGAGACTAAATAGAAAATAGTATACCTGTTAGGATAAACTGGTGGCTAAGTGGTAACTCTATGTTTAATTTCTTTTGAGGAAGTACCAGTCTGCTTTGCACAGTGGCTGCATTTGCCACATTCTTGGAAACATTATTAGTGGCTTCTTGGTGACAGCCATTCTATTGAGTGTAAAGAGTTAACTCATGGTGATTTCCACTTGCATTTCCCTGATGGCTAACGATGTTGAGCATATTTTGAAGTGCTATTGGCCACTTGTATATCTTTGGAGAAATATCTGTTCAAATCCTTTACCATTAAAAAAAACTGGGTTGTCTTTTTAATGCTGAGTTGTAAGAGTTCTTTATAAATTCTGGATATAAGTCCCTTACCAGACTTATGATTTGTAGATATTTTCTCCCATTCTCTAGGCTATCTTTTCATTTTCTAGATTGTGTCCATTGAAGCACAAATGTTTTAATCTTGGTGAAGTCCAATTTATTTTTTCTTCTGTTGCTTGTGCTTTTAGTGCCATATCTAAGTATCCACTGCCAAATCCAGATTTGTGAAGATTTACTCCTGTGTTTTCCTCTAAAATTTTTATGGTTTGCTCTTACATTTAGGTCTTTGATCCATCTTGAGTCAATTTTTTGCATATGGCATGAGGTGTCAAACTTCACTCATTTGCATGAGGCTATCAAGTTTTCCCAGAACAATTTGTAGAAAAGCTAATTCTTTCCCCCACTGAATGATCTTGGCACTGTTGTTGAAAATCACTGGCCATAAATAGATGGGTTTATTTCTGGACTCCCAATTCTGTTTCACTGATCTGTATGTCTAACCCTAAGCTAGTATTACACTATCTTGATTACTGTAGTTTTGCAATAAGAGTTGAAATCCGAAAGTGTGAATCCTTTGTTCTTTTTCAAAATTGTTTTGATAGTTCTGGGTTCCTCGTATTTCCATATGAATTTTAGGATCAGCTTGTCCATTTCTACAAAGAAGCCAGCTGGGATTCTGACAGAACTGTGATGAATCTATAGATTAAGTTGAGGGTTATTACTGTTGTTTTCAGAGAATACATTTTATGTTTTTGTTAAATATTTTACTCTTTTGATGCTATTGTAAAGGGAATTTTTTAACTTTCATTTTCCTATTTTTCATTGCTGAGTATATAGAAATAAATTGATTTCTGTATATTGATCATGCATTCTGAAGTCTTGAACTTAATTATATGTTCTAAGTTTCTTAGTGGATTTCTTAGGATTTTCTATATACAAAATCATGTCATCTGTGAATGCATAAAACAGTTTTACTTCTTTTCCAATTTGGATGCATTTCATTTTCTGGCATGGGAGACAAACTGCAAACCAACAAAAAAAGAAAAATATTGCAGTAATAATGTCAGATTTGTACAGAAATAAAACTATGATAATGTGGCGAGAGTGGATTGGGCAGCTACTGACACTATGTAGACGGAAATGCCTCCTGTGTGATGACATCTAACCTAAAATCTGAATTATAACAAACAGCGTTCAAGACAGTGGAAACAGCTGATGTAAAGGAACTGAAAGGTGGGACTGAGCTTACTTACTGGAGGATCAGGGGGCTAATGTGACTGGAATGTAGTAGAAGACGGGAAAGGAGACCTGAGAGGCAGCCAGGGGCTAGGCCATGTGGGGCTTTGTAACCCGAGCAGTGGAGGTTGGATTTTACTCTAGGTTGGATGGGGTGCTCCTGGAGTGTTAAGCAGGGAAGTGATGTGATCTGGCTCACATTTCAAAATCACTATAGATGCTTTGTGGATAACAGAGGTTGAAGTAGGAGCTTGAATCACTTAGAAGACTTTTATAGGATTTCACGTTAATGCTTGGAGTTAGTGCTTGGAGATGTTAATAACTTGGAGTGGTGATTATGGAGATGGGAGATAAGCAAATGGATGTAGGGTAGGTCTGGGACTTGCTGATGAATTGGATGTGGGGAGTGAAGGAAAGAGAGTAATAATGAGTAATTGCTAGATATTCAGCTTGTGCATTTGAGCGAGCAGTAGAGCCATTTACTTAACAAGCAGGGAGCTGGTGGTGGGTGTTGGGGACTTACATCACAAGTTCTGTGTTTACTGTAAGATGGAGACCCCTACTGGTATTCCAAATACAAATGTCAAGTAGGCAGTTGGACAACAGACTGTAAGCACAGAAGTGAGCGGGATTACTTGTTTTCAGTTTGAAGGAGCTGCCAGTGAGCCAGGAGAGAATGTTTCAGGTGATCCAAGGTAAAATTGTTGAAGGTGTTGGAATGGGCTGATAGGCAGATTCCAATCCCAGTGTGTGGGTTACTTCACCTCTCTGAACTTTCTCCTCCATCCATAAAATGGGGATAATACCTGATTTGGGAGCTTACTGTGAGACTGAAGGAAATAAGGCACTTAAGAGAGCTGGCACCACCCTCAGCATACACATTTAACCACTACCCTTCTACACTACCTCTAGTTGGATAAGAATTAGGCTTGCCATAGACAAGTAGTAAGAGCAAAACTAGCTACCTTTTCTCAAGATAGCTTGAGGAAAGATAATCTTGGAAGGAGAGCTGCTCTAAAACCACGCTGCAGCCTTCACTTTCTCACTTACTGAAAGTAAACCTCTTTGAAAACAGAGTAGGTCACTACCATATATCAGGAGATAGTTTTCCTACCTAGCTCTTCCTACAAATGTTTGCTCTGCTTAAATAAGGCAAGATGTTTAGTGTAACAAAGTAACAAATGATGCCACAACCACATTGAAGTACTAGGTGCCTCTATTCTTTCCTGCATTAAACACAAACACACATCAGCCTCAGCAACATAAGCTATAGGAAGAGCGATAGCGATTTCTCATCTTAAAGAATTTAAGGGTACTTCCCAAATATTAAAATAACAACGCAACAACAACAGTTAACATTTCTGGAGAGCTTAGCACAGAGAATTACTATGCTAATTGTTTTAGATTTAAAAATCATTTAATCCCCTCTAAATCCTATAAAGGTGGGAATAACATTATCCCCATATTATCCTCTCCAATAGGTCAGCTTTAAATGAGAGAGTTAGCTTATTAGAATTGGACAGGCTAGGTATCCCAGTGCCTTTTAACTGAGAGGTGTGAAAAGGTGGGGTTCAAAATAGTCCCTCAATGAGTAGTTGAAGGTTGAAGAATTAATTCCAGGTACTGGAGATATTTTTCTTTTCTTTTTTTTTTAACTAAGATTTGCCTTTGGCAGATTGGCATGATAGGGCTTCAGCCTCAGCTTCCAAAACAATCAGCATATCTCACAATACCTGGTTGAGCGTTCTGAAGAAGGAAAGTAACAAAGTGACACAAGAGTATGGAATCAGCACTGTTACCATATTACTCTTTCTGCAGTTTTTATCCCTTAAATGTTTTGGTGAATCTTTACCAAAAATCTCATTTAAAACAATCTTAAAATTTGCAAATTTCACCTCTTCCATGAAAACCTGTCATCTAGGGCCCACTTAGACCTTTCTGAGAAGACGGAATGATCAAGGGACTTACCAAACAACTTTTGTCTTTAATGTTTATTTCAATTAAAGAAATGTGGATTTAGAATTAACGTAAGGTAAAACCTCAAAGTATTAGGCAAAAGAAGTGCTATTAAGAGTTTGATTAAAATGTTCGTGGTACCTGTGCCATGTACTACAGACAGACATTAACAAAATAAAAAGCGCACTCTGAAGAAAATCAGATTCTGATAAATTCTGTTCGTAAAAATCAATTCAGTGGTACAGTCCCCCCAGGGGAGAA